CCCCCCCCCCCCCCCCCTCAAAAAAAAAAAGTTGCCAAAAATGTTTTGAAGTTCATGCATTCACCAGCACTAGAAGATTTATGAAATAAATGCTTCCACAATTGCGAGCTAACTTTGAGACGACAAATAGGACTCTTGATTCCCTATACAAAGAAACTAGAAAGAAAGCAAAACAACTAGAAGAACTTACGCAAGATCCCCTCCAATAAGAAGTAAGTCTCCACGAGGCAGGTATTTCTTGGAGCCTCCACATTTAACTTTAAGGGAAGGCTGGGCCAAAAGTCGAGCCACGGCATATGTTGAGTTTCCACCATCACCTGTGTCTGCCATGAAATCAAACCAGAGCTCGTCTTTGTTACCAAAATGGTCATACAAAAGATCGCCGCTTTTAGCATCATCAGGTGTCTTGTTCATCGCAGCCTGGTCATAGAAAATATTATAGAAAGTTTACCTTTAATAATAGTTCAGAAAAAGGAACATGTCAAGTGAAGATAGAGGATATGTAACAAAATTTTAAAATATAGGAAGACCAAGTAAGGAATTTCAATTGGCATCAACAAACATACTTAGACTTCTGCTTAAATTAAACATTTAAACAAAAGCATAACGCGAAAGAAAAGTATGAGGAGAAAGAAGTAGAAAATCCTGAAAGCATACCTGCATCATGCGCATATCAAATCGACCAACAAAAAGGGTAACTGATACCATGAGATCAAATACTGTTTTAAATAAATCAGTTGATGTCCTGCAACATTATATCCATCAAAGTAGTAGTCAGCATGAGGAGAACCTTGGATCCATATCCACTAAATCCTGGAGCGAGAAGTGCCTACCCTGAATACCATGGAACCATATCCAAGAAATCAGGCTTCATTTGTTTCTTCAACTGCTCATATTCTGATATTGAGAGAGGGTGGGTGAGAGCCCAGCTGTCATTTTTCCAAGTGGTAAGTTATGAATCAAATTTATAAAAGCATGAGAGAAAAATCAATACACAGCGATTAGGTATTACTGAGGAAAATTGCAGATGATAACCATTCTTAAAATACTAGCACTTTTGCATGCAGACAAAATGAAAAGTATGCAAATTGAAATAGCAAAACAATTAAGAAGTTCCTCTACTTCGGAGATTTCAACTTCACAAGAAACAAACACAAACAAAAAAGAAGGATGATAAGCATGTACCCTGTTGACCTCTCCACCACATAATTTGCCATATAAAGGCCAATAAATGTTGCCCACAACGAAAATATGGGGGATATTTCATCTGAAGAACCATCACAGGATCCGTTGCAAGCCAACTGGAAATTGGACATCACAAATATCAGCACAATAACATCAATGCAGCTAATAGAAGGATAGCCAAACAGTAGAAAGATAAATTTTACCTCTCCATAAATAACCCATTTAGAAAAGAAGGGGTAATCATTGGCAGATCCAACTGAAGCAAACCAAGATGAACACATTTGGTCCTTCCATTCATGTATTCGAAGGAGCTTCAACACAAAAGCATTTCTTTCATGTTTCTTCCACATCGAAAAGAACCAAGAATTTTTGCGATCTAATGATTTTCTCCTCAGAAAAGCACGATTACCACAGTGACTATAGAAAACACAACAAGCTATGCTAATAACCTGCATGAGGGCAATACTGAGCACCATTAACCATGCTATATGTAAATTTTTCCTGCAGCAAACTCATCATGAGCACTTACGAAACAGTTTTGGATGATTGTCAGGATTTCTGGTCGCTTTCCCGCCACACGAGCAACAAGACCAACATACCAGAGGCCAAGAAATATGATATGGAACACAAGGAGAAAAAGGACAGATGAAATATATATAGTTAGGAATAAAGAGAGATTCATTCTCAAATCAACTCCCATTGACTGGAAACTTGGAAGATGGTACAAAGCTGCCACAAAAATCCAAGCAATATACCTGCAATATTCATACAACAATTCTATTTCTTATAACAGTCATAACAACTAAGTGAAGAAACTGAACTATTTAGAATGAAGTGAAAGAACACATACCAACGACTAAAATTTGAATAGCTTGGCTTTATAGTCTTCCTAATAAAAGGAGATGAGAAAAAATAGAAAAATCCAATCAAGCAGAAATACATGGACCACCATTTGATGTTCTTGTCCAGTTCTTGTATGAGGGTGTGGATGTTATCAGATGATATGAAGAATAGGCATCCCACTATCACTGCAAAAAGAGCATGACGAGAATGCTCATGTGGATAGGGATATGTATGAGTGAATATTGCACTGACACTCTCCATTTTGAGGGTATCAAACAAATTCTTGTTCTTCCCCATTGAACTATTCTTGTTCTTCCCCATGGAACTAACACTAGTGTTCACTTGATGCCCTTCTCATACGCTCCCTATAGTAGCTGGCAAGAAAATGGAGACTGATAAGTACCACATAAACTGAATATAAAGTACAAAAATTGTAAGATCTCATCCAGCTCGAACAAGATGCATAGTCTTTGCTTTCATGCTACATGAAATGCTTGTCTAAAAGAATAAAAATAAGGAGAAAAACTAACATACGATAGAGACTCATTCTTGACATAAGAAATAAAATTTTGGCAAATGCATAACCACATTACCCACATATAAAACAAAAGGTTTAAAATTGATTCTTTTTTTCTTAAAAAAAAGGTTTAAATTTGATTGGCAAGCATGTATCAACGATGTAGTGAGTACAAAGAGAAATACCTCACCCTTCTAAGAATTAGAACAATCTTACATTTTGGGCGAGAAATCTATGTGGAGTTTAGTTTTGCAATTATTTATTTTGTATATATTAATTTTTTTATCTGTCAAGCACAATTCTGTATGCATCATGATATGACGAAGAAAGAAAACATAGGAGAAAGGAAAAACACCACCATCCCCGCTGAGGCCAACAAAAGAAGACCGAAATGGTCTTAAAAGAACTAACTTGACCGTACTGGTTCATGTACAGACCCTATAAATATCATTTGCAAGCCCTTGAAACAAGGGAAACTAGTATGCAAAGTCATCATTCGAATGCGTTCTGGATAAGTTATTGGATCATGTCAAAACAGGAGCTGTTATAACATATCGCCTTGTTTTTAGTGATCCAAGCTAGGGAAAGTTCGGTAACAACGGGTAAAAAAAAACCTCAATCGTCAGTTCATCACGCAGAGCAGCACCAATGAACAGTGTAAAATGGTGGTTAAGCAAATTGAATGACACAAATGAGGAACACTCTTAAGATCAATTAAGCCAGAAGGCATAAGTATAAAAAATGCTAAATACAACATATGCTACAGCAACTATAACAGTCCTCAAGCCCAAGTCACTATCAAATATTCATATAAACTAACCAAGAAAAATTCATAAAAATTAGAAAGAAAGGTTAGCCTAATACTAGAAGAAGAAGAAATTTTTAACTCTCCATCTGCATCTTGCTACTAAAATTCTCGGTAGCACACCTACAGCTACATGCAATGGTGAATCCCAACTTAAAGTTCATACAAACCATAAAAAGGCAGAGACTTTCCTCATCCGTAGTTCTTAAAAAACCCCACAACTGACTACCAAAATCACAACTCCAGATCACAACAAATTTCATAGAACATCTAGAAATATCAAAATAGCATGCTAAATTCTGCTCCAATTGAATCAGGTAAAGGAACCCACTTCCTTCCCAGTCAAAAAAAATTCCCATATGACAGATACCCATAACTGAATTTTGCGCAAAACCAATAATCCCATATTGGGTTTCTTCAAGCTAAGCCATAATTCACTACAAACATTAAAAAAGTTGAGAAATTCACAACGAATAGTAAAACCCACGAAGCCAAAGAGGTTACCTGAACTTGAAGAAGAAGAAATGGGAAGGTTGAGAGATTTCCTCAGCTTTTTTCTTCTTCTTCTTTTTGTAAAAATTTGTGTTGGCTCTCTCACTATTTCAATTTCAACATCTAAAAAATCTAACCAATCCAATAAATCTCTAAATTTAAAAGCGGAAAGCGTGGGGGCAGTGAATCAAGTTGGGAAAGAACATCCCACAGAATATCTTTCACCAATTTCAACCCGTTAAGTTTCCTGCGCCTGCGGGGGGTGGTTTGTTCTCTCTGATTTTGTTATTTATTTATGTTTTCCCCCCTGTTTCTTGTTTTCATTGACTTTAACGGGCCCAATAGATCCGACCCGTAACATAAAGTCTGACCCGTCTCTTCCACAATTGAAATGAAAATTTTGAAGCTTTATTTATTTAAGTTTCTCTTGTTCAAGGCCAAACATTGCTTTTAAAATATATATATATTATATACTTATATATATATATATATATATATATATATATATATATAGAGAGACGAGAGAGATTAATGGGGTCATCCTTGTCATCAGGAAGAGATTTCCTCCTTGACGCCTTTTAAAATCACATGATGAGCGACATTATGGATGGATCCGCCTCCGTTGAACATTGATCTACATATTCTAAAACCCCAACACACCAAGTTTGGGGTGAATCCGTCGTCGTTTGACCCTCCATCGAGCCATGTGGAAAGTTCTATTCATTCAAAACCGTTAAAATTGATACGAGTGGATGAGGGTCAAACGACGACGGGTTCACCCCAAACTTGGTGTGTTCGGGTTTTAGAATATGTAGATCAAGTTCAACAGAGCGGATCATCCACAAGTGCGCTCAATCATGTGATTTTAGAGGCCCGCTCAAGGAGAAAATCCCCTCCTATGACAATGATATATATATATATATATATTATATATATATATATATATATATGCGCCTGTGCAAAAATGCAGCGTGTGAAACATCAATTTATCTTTGTAAGTTAACAATGTATCTTAACATATGTATCTTTTTGATATATGAATTTTTTGATAGCTCATCTTACTAAATAAAACATCAGTAGTTTATCTACTGTCTCCTTGTCTTATGAAGAGAGGTAAACATTACCACTCGCGAATATTAGTATTCATTATTGCATAATTTTTTATGCTCTACTGTTGATCATTTTTTTTATATATGGATCCGTGTCCTTTTTTTTTAAATTAAAGAGGCGACCGGAGAGGGTTCAATAATTACTACGGCCGCCACCGTTTATTTTTGATTTCAAAGTTTTTATGGTGTTAATCTGATTATTAAACCACTTAGTACTTGAAAAAGGATAAGATCGAGTTGTGTACGCAGTCAAGTCTTGGGATTTTGATCATGTTGTACACGTTTAGTTGATCCTCGATCTCTTGATTTTCTGACTTTCAACACGCAACTTTTCACATGAAATTCCAAGTCTTTTTAAATTATTATTATATATACATATGATATATAAGGTGCGGACAATTAATAAACGTGATATGCGTCAAGACGCAAAACTCGTGGTCCGTGTTACTTAATGAGTTGAGCCTAAACTTTGTGCACGCGAAATTTAAATATTTGAACAAGTTAAGTTTTGTCATTCTTCCTTGCTTAAGATAAACAAAATTAGAGGGGAAATCTGCACTCCTCTGTTTTGTTTTGTTTTTTTTAATAAAGGTTTATGTATTTACACAATTTTCAACTCTTGCCTAATCAGTCTCTCTCTGGACATTTCCCTTAGTCTGTCTAAAAATTACTGCAGATATCTGATCCTCATAAAACGCTAACGATGAAAGTTACAATATGACGATTTTCACGACAACATACGAGAGTTACAAATTGACGACTCTCACATTTCAAAGAGCCAAATGCAAGGATTACAAGATGACGATCTTTGCAGAACTTGAAAAAGAGATAACAATTAACGATATCTTCAAAGCAAAATGCGAGGGTCCACCCCCGCGTTCCAACTACAATTCACACACTGCTACTAACTTGATGGAGTGATCTAAATCTAAAATTTAAAACATTAATAATTCTTATTCTATTGTTTGATTGATCAAATAATGCTTTTTTTACTTTGAAAATCAAATAATCTCGATGATAAAAATGAAAGAGAATTAAAAAAACATAATTATCCACTATGATGAGAAGGAGGCTATTTAAAAATGGGTATTGTATGTTTAGAAAATAGAACCTTTTAATTAAATTATATATTCAAATTTTAAAAGTCTGAATAAATCATCTTTAATCGGAAATTATGTCCGATGTCCTTTACACCCCAACACTTAACTTAAAAGAATGTTAAATTGTTGTCAAAGTTAACTACTTCTTTGTCTATATTCAACATGAGAATTGTTGGAGATTTTCTTTCTTTATTTTATAAAAAAAAATTTAACATCATTGACCAGATTTCTCCACCACATTAATATTTTTTTAACATTATGCATTCATCCAAATACGAAATAAATTAATTGTGGAGACGTGTGGCCTAATCTCCAACCAACGCACTTATTAGCGTCCACAAATGGAATAAATTAATTGGGCGAAAAAGAAAATGCCTCAATAAAGCATTGGGCCTTTTGTTTTGTTCTCATGATACTGGTAACTGGGAATAGCGACCACGATTAATCTCCTCCGCGGGTTATTTTACCGCAGAGTTCAATGTTTTTTTCTTTTCGGAAAAGCAACGGAACGGGATACGTCACCGCCTCATCCATCGTGAAAGCCGTTCCACCGGGCACCGGCCCACGCTAGGAATTCCAGAATGTGACACGTGGCATAATTTCAGTGGAGCATCTTTTGGCACGAGCTTTTGTGCCTCTTTGCTTTTCCCCTGGTTGTGAATTGATAGAAAAACGTTCGGAACATTATTTTGGGAACAATTTTTCAAAACCGACCGATTTTTTTTTTTTTTCAAAATCGACCGTTTTTTTTTATTTATCAAAATCGACCCGGTTTGTGATTAGCAGGTTAATCACTATCCTAAATAGTCGGGGTTGCCAACCCCGACTATTTAGGAGGGTGTTAAATCCTAATTAAAGGGTGATTAGCAGGCTAATCACAAAACCGGGTCGATTTTGATAAATAAAAAAAACAGTCGATTTTGAAAAAAAAAACAGCCGGTTTTGAAAAATTGTTCTTATTTTGGTGTTTTTGAAGTTTACACAGTTCCTTAAAACTATGACGTACTACAGTGACTCAAAATATGGGATCATTAGAAGGGACATGTAAGATGTCTCTATTTTATTGCATAATAATGAGCTGGTCAGACCAGCTCATTATGCAATAGGAATGTCTTAATGACCTAAAATATGGGACTATTGGAGAAGACATGTGAGATGTCCCCCTCCTATTACATAATGAGCTGGCCATGCCAGCTCATTATGTAATAGGAGGGGGACATTTCACATGTCTCCTCCAATGATCTCATATTTTGAATCCCTGTAGCAGCGTCCTAAAACTATATATATCTAAGTAACTTATTTGCAAATATATGGATTTTGGAGAGATGTGATTTAAGGAATGAGAACTATTTGACATATAAGTTTTTTTTTTGGGGGGTGACTAGTCTCCGCTTCTCTTTTTTTCAGTTCAGACACAAGTGAACAACACAAGTGCTAAAATATATAATAATTACAAATGAAAGATGGTCATGTAGTAGACAGGGATTTACTTTTGACCTTTTGAGGCAACCCCAAGCCCCAACCCTTGACATTTAATTATTAACAACCAAAACATTTATTTTGCTGTTAGTAATACAAGGAACAGGGCCCACGGTAAGAAGGTGCTTAGCACCAAGACGGCCTACTAACTCGCATAAGAAAAAGCCCAAAGAGCCCGCTAATCGTGCTAGCATGGGCTAATGAGTAGAGCAATTATTAGACGGCCCAATGCAAACAGAAAATCTGTTTGCAATTGTATAGAAAAGCCACAACCCTCGGTGTCATTCAAATACTGCCATTACCAATGTATCACCAATTCCTCAATAAAAAGAAGGGGAGAAGATAAAACCAAAAAACAAAAACAAATCCTGTAGGTAATGTTATCAAGGCATCATTGTCGATAATAAGAACTCTTGAGAGTATAGTGAAACATGTAATAATTGACTAGCACATGGCAGAAGACAACGTCACATAAACTGAGCAAAACAGGAAAGACTCGGCGATTAGTCACACAAAATTCTTTTCTCTCTTTGATGCACCAACTATCCAGTCAGAAATCAAACGAGAACAACAAGAGATTAGCATATATAAATAGATAACTGCATTCGGCATTCTCTACTCATCCGAATCCAAAGCCAAAACACAAGAAGATAAAAACACCAAAGAAGACACTGCTCCCTCTTATTACACAACAACAACAAGCATACCCCTCCACAGTTCAACTTCCGACCATCGCAGCACCTATTTCCGATCAACACAGGGCTCAATGAGCACTCCTTCAACGATCAGCCCCTTCTCCCACTCGACCTCCTCACTGGTGCTCAGGCTGAACCCCACGTCCCCTCCCTCTTCTGTCCCCACAAACTCCCCGGCCTTCACCTGGGCCCACTGGCCGGGCACCATCGCCTTCAGGCTCAGCTCCTTCTCCTGCGTGGTCCCGTTGGGGAGCTCCACTGTCATCTTCACCAGAGGCTCGACGTCAGGGACGTGGGGGTTCTTCATCATCATCAAGAACATGACCTCGTACTTCTCCCCAGGATTGAAGTGGTTCATCTCAAAGCTCCCCTTTATCTTGACGGGGCACATTTTCAGCATCTCGGCCACCTCCACGTCCATATCCCTGCATCATATGAGTAGGATAACTACTTATTGGGCGATAGAAAAGACTGTCTAAAACCTCATGGGTGTTAAATAAATAAGCCAGAATTAGGCTCTGAAACATTTATTTCCTCTTTTATTTCACTTTTTTTATATAAAAAAAAAAATACCCTTCAAGCCAAAGCCAGCGCCAGTAGCTTGGGTCCTCGCTTCGTTCAATAGAGAGTGCTCTTGAGTACAGCATGAAACTGTTGGAGTGGGTTGTTCGATCAGTCCAGCACCTCTGAAAGCAAGTCCGAAGTTCATTAGCAATGCAGAACAAAGTGCTTGGTTCAAATCACATAAGGGGCATAATCAATAGGCATAAGATACTGAGAGTGTTTTTGGACTCACGACGGTCTTCTTGTTGAGGAAAATGCCTGCTTTGAAGTGATCATGGACGTCCTCCACCGAGGGGAGCTCCGCCTTCTGAAGGAGGAGCTCAAGGTTGTGAGGAAGCTTCTTCGGAACATCCTGAGACATCTTTGATGATTAACTTCTCTTGATTGATCTTACTCCTTAACTTTGCACTTGATTGATTCCTGCACATCAGAGAAGGGAGGTCACAAAAATATATATATACACAGCTTGAGGATAGCCTGTCTGCAAAGTTAAATGTAACAGAAAAAGACTCGCTAACATTTGGAGTCAAAGATTAAACAATAAATATTGATTCGAGGATAGTGTTTGGTATTTTCCTTCATTTGACTTCATTTTATTTGTTGGGCGTATGACAACTGGCTCCTTGCTTACCTGTGATGAGGGAATGAGGACAACGACTTTGTGACTTGATTAGTTCTTGATTTAGTCTGGTCATTTGTTAATGAGGGACAAAATTTTACAAGTTGAGCAAAGTTTCTGCTGAAGCCTTTCTTTATACAGAGATAATCCAGATCTTAGTTATGCTAATATCGATGCTATGAATCTCCATGCATTCTCATGTGCAGTTCATTTTTATCTCAATTGAACTTCGGTGTATTATTATCTTCACAGTTTTCATATTGTAAAAGATGATGTTTCCCTCTCTCTTCCTTCTATATTATTTTTTCGAATGAATGCTACAAATTTATCAATATTTCCTAGAGTATTTTTACTGAAAAAAACATAGACCTCGGAAGTAACCCCTGAATTAGTTAAAAAGTTTTTAATAAATTTATCTACACTAATAACTACCAAAACGTATTAATCAACCAAATTTACCCCCCTATATTAGAACTTTCTAAAAAAAAAGACGAACCTAATAAGTTGAACCCATACACAAAAGAAAAAAAATATGAACCCATACACCCAAAAAAAACTGTGTATATGCAACACCCAATTAGTTGAATTTTTCCTAATAAGTTGAACTGTGTTATATTAAGCCCTTATGGGAATTTCAACAAATTAACCCCCATTCATCTAACTATACCATACTTCATAATTAAGTATTTATTTTTCTTAATTAAAATTTAAATTGCATCGGTCTGGATTAATTATTAGTTTAAAAGAACACCATAGACTGATTTTGTCTTAATTTGGCAATTATAGTACAGGTTAACTAGACCTTATTGGTATCTTTTAATTTAGCTGGCTGGAATACCTTTGGGGTATTCCATCCTTATTCTCAAAAAAAAAAAAAAATATTAGAATGTTATACTATGAATTAACATCATTCGATATGACCTGATATTTAAAATATATCCCCGACGTATCCTCGATTTTATCCGATATGGATTTTAGTCATCCGATATTTATGCAATATCCGATATCTAAAACAATGTCATCCGTCTTAAATTACGGCTTCTCTCACCTCCATTCTTAATTGTTCAACAACTCTCCCCTCCATGTCTTGCCACCACCAAGAGTTAATATACTGCTAAAATCATCTACACCCTCGTATCTCATGACTACTACACCCACAATTTGTTGATTATGGGTCTAAAGTGGAGGGATGGATGGTTGATATGAGTTCCGTGATGTCAAAGATTAATTATCTCTTGAGGTAGTACATAGACTATGATCTCCTTAGGCCAACCATGAGCATCGAAGTGTTAGATCCTGCTTCTCTGCTCCCTCTCCTTGACCATTTTAAATTATCTACCAGAGAATAATTCTCTAGCACGTGATCTTATTTCTTTGATGAACGGTTTACATTGTTAGCCTCTGATTAGGGTCTACCTAGCCCATGAGTGATATGTGCCAATAAACAAAGATGCACTATAAGTGCCTAAGTCCTATAATTCAAGGGACCTATATGCAATCAAAAAATGTATACATATCAAGAAGGTAGACACATAAAATTTCAATTAACTAATTTTTCCGAAAATAGGCTCTAGTTGGGTGACTTTTAGGGGAAAGTACTCTGAATTGTTTATAGTTAATGGGTCGGATCAAAAATTAAAAGTAACTGTTAACAACTCCTTTGGCAGCGATCACATACAAATAGAGATAGAAGCAAGAAGGCACGCAAAGACCAACATATCAATTTCCAGATAACAGTACTACACAAAAGGAATTAATTGTATGACATAAGATAGGATTGATAGCAAGAGATATAAGCAAACTATTAAAAAGTTCTATAATCTATACCATAAGCACAAAAGGCTGTAGTTACAACCTGCAGTTCAAACTTGTAAAAGAACCAAATGAACTAACTTTTCTATCAAGAATGACAATGGCACTTTACAGAGACCAAAATGCATTATAGAAGAACAAGGCACAGAAAAAGAAAATCACCTCACGGAAGATCTGCTTGACTGAATTTCTGAATGGAACAGCCAAATCTACTGGCTTATCTTTGGGAGTTTCTTCCAGGAAATCATCATCGTCATCCCTAGGTGGACGAGGTTCCAGAAGAGGTAAATAAAACAATAAGAAGGACCTCAGGGATGTAATAGCTAGGGACTTCAACTCAAAGGCTGAGAAGACAGGTTTTAGCTCTACAGGGTATTCTTTCGTTCTGTAATTAATAGACTCGCGGTTGAGTATATTTTCAGATGCTATTCGAAGACTAGGAATATATCCCTCGTCCAATGCTATGCCAGCATCACAATAAAAAATCGGAATTCCTCCATCACTGAAATAACATATAAAAATCATCAAGAGTGGAAGGCCATGAATGTGTAAAACTGTAAATCAACATGATTCAATAATGCATGAACTTAAGCTATACACTTTACTAGTATATACCATATGCAAGGGACCCCACGTTAAACAAATTGAAGTATCACCAAAAGGGGGTGGCTATATGAGCTATACAACTAAAATTGAAGTTAGTCACACTTTAAACTTCACAACCATATGAGAACAACACCCAAAAAAACTGAGATTTGTAAGGAACAGTTATAGACAGATGAATATGGAACGTCAGACTTCAAAAGAGTCTTATACAAATATTGCATACATCTATCATCATCACAGCCAGGTAATACATTACTAAATTACAAGTGAAGTCGTGACAACCTATATTGTTTAAACACTCCCATAGACTTCCAAAGTCTTACTTAAATGCTGGTGGCATTTATGAACTGAAGTCAATTTCTTATTGACAAAATTTGTCACAATCAATTCCTGAACTAATTGTGCATGCTTGCAATCAAGTCTTAAAAAAAAAATTACCCAGAATACCAGTGATCTTTATCCTAGATGCTTATGTATATCCAAAGAGGAATATGTTATATGGACTCAATTAGTAGCATATCGTCCAAAAGAGAGGAGAAAAATTAGGAAGAGGGAGATGACAGAATCAGAATCCCAGCTGAACAGAAAGGTAAGTTGAATACATGTTGATATATACACATAAATCCATATGCATATGTGCAGTGATATTCTAGTGTCTAAAGTTTATTGTGTTAGATGTCTAGATAAAACATATTTCATAGATATGGCCACATTAACTAGTTTTCACTTTTCTTTCCACACTATATGCAAATCTGGAAGGACTGTTCATAGTTTTTGCTATTTGTGAACTAAGAAGTTCTTGTATGGCTGCAATATGTCCCCCTCTTTTGCAAAGGTTTTAATTTCCCCTCTTTTATGTTGCAGATCTCTTGGATTGAGAGAACTGGCTACAAAGGCATCATTTTGCACCCAGGGGAGCTATCCGTTACCGGTTCTGATGACAAAAGCAACTGGCTTATGCTCGGAACTAAGGTAATAGTTCTTACTAAACAAAATTTGGTTGTACAATTTTCTACAAAGAATCCTCCTGCATGTATGTTAGTTTCGCAGATAAACCCTCTATGATGATGTTCGTCGAGCATATAACTGACCCCCCAAAAAAAAAAAAAAAAAAGAAAAAGAAAAAGAAAGTTCCCAAAAGCTAAAAAAAGAGTACTAAAGCTAGTCATGGTACCAAAGGTTCTGTGGAATGAAATGTAATAAAACAGAGGTGAAAATATATTTTTTATAGCATAGAAGGGTTTTTACGTAGTTTACCAAAATTTAGGCTAATGGCATATACAATTATACACTCGTAGTATGTTCTGAACCTAATACATTAATGTCTTCTAGTTCTACAGCCAAGATCATTTGAATATTGAAGTGCCACGACATGTCCGAGATTACGTCCAAATCGATGGTCAGCATGGCGTGTCTAGGCTTGAAACTGGTGTCACCTATGAGATTGCAATCCTGGTGATGTTAAAGGACACGGAAGAGGAGGGGAAGTACACCGTGATCCTTGAGCTCAACCTGGCAAATAGGGTTTCCCACCCAAGTCACGTGTAGATTACCTTGACAAGCTACCCCAGAACAAGTGGGCAGTATTCATGATCTATGAGTTTGTGGCTGCTTAAAGTGGGGAGGTCAGTTTCTCGATGACCTCGAGTCGAAGATGGCAAAAGAGGGGCTCATCATCAAGGGCGCCGTGATCCATCCATTGCTCTGATCTGACCGGATGAAGACAAAGAAGATGAAGGATGACGCATTTTCCTCTATTGGATAACGTTATTATTGTGTGCTTGAAAGTTTGAATAAGTTTCCTTCTGGTTTAATCCATGGTTGATCTCCCTTTCGGCATGTCCATATTTTTCAAAAAAAGATGGTCGGCATAATGAAATATTTAAAAACTAAATTAGTAGGATAAGCAGAAGTACATGCATAAAGCCATAAACACACAATGAAGGCAACTATATACAAAATTGTAGATATATACAACAGAAAGAACTAGAAATACTACTTCTCATTTTCCCATGCAATTAAGTGCGAATGCTGCCTGATTCATTAAGAGTAGATGACAAAACAAAATAAAAAACAGAAGAAAGACCCTCAGAGTTACAGTATTTCTCTCCAGTAAAGCATAATGCCATAAATGTCTCCGAAAGACGAGAAACAAATATAATAAAAACAAGCTTTATTTGAACATGAACAAAACAAGAGAATATGTTCTCTTACATTGACCAAAATTAGCAAACAACATAGGTAAACTAAATTCTCGAGACACGCTGAGAAATATAGAGACAAAGCTTTAACACAAACTTATGAGATACACCGATTTATTATTCAAAGACACTGACTTAAACCATGACCATCTTAAGCCAAACACAGAGAAAATCAATCAAAGATGGAGGTCCAAATCTAATTCTTGATTTTCAGACTCTTCCCCGCTGTGAACTTCACTTGAACCTTCAATAGCAGTAGCCCTTCTGATGTCTCTACCACTAATTCCTCCGGCAGATGGGGAAATCATCATGTTCATATTGCCATGATTATTAACAGGAACATTTTGCATCATTGCAAGATTTGGGTTATAGGGAATTAAATTCCCTCCAACCACATGAACGCTAGTCCCATAGGAATCTGGACCCACAATAAAGTTGATAACATTACTGACGAAAATAGTCCTTTGGTTACTAGTGCCACTTAAACTTCTGTTCACATTATCAATCGAGCCAGCCCTTGGTACTAAACCATTCATAGATTGGCCTCTAGGTACTAAACCATTCATGGATTGGCTCCTTGGTACTAAACCATTCAGGGATTCGCCCCTGGGTACATAGCCATCGATGGATTGGCCCCTGGGAACTAAACCATTCATGGATTGGGTATGGTAGGGCACATATCGGGGTCGAGGCTGAAAATGACGTTGAGGAATGGAAGAATACCGAACTTGGGTAGGTTGAACAGGGCCTTGTACGGAAGACATCACTATCTCACGCCTCGCCTCATTATCCCTGTCGATCCTTGCATGGACATTCTGATGACGGTTGTACCCCTGAAGATTGGCTAAGTACCTATCACACCTTGCACAAAAGAATGGAGTTCTTCTCCTCAAAGGGTCGGCTGCAGAGGAGCCTGCGCCTGAGGATGGTGGTGCTTCCATGATAGAGCAAAGAGGGGGAAAATTGTAAGAGAAAAAGAAAGAGGAAATGTGAGATTGGTGTGGGAGCTTTAGCCTTCTCATTTGACTCGTTTTATAGGAGACTTAAGAAAGATTTATGGTAGTCGGGTTGGCAAGAGGAATCAGCAAGTACATGTTCATTGAACATTTCACTCAATCATTGTAATCTCAAGGAAAATATGGTGTCAATCAAAGTGTGTTCAACTAAAATTGGAAATAAGCATCTACTCACAAAATAGAGAGAAATTTTAAGTGTACATGTATGATATATGCATGAATTTTGATGACTATATCTTAGGGAGGTGTGCTTTTGAGGGAGATGAGAAGAGATTCATGGCACAATGTTATTGAGATTTCAGCGCATTGTGGTTGAATCAATCAGCAGTGCATATCGGCTGGAATCCGCAAATCAGAGAACATGAATCCACTTTTTTTTCCTTTTCTCAAGAGATTATAAGGAATTTATGGCACAATGTTAATTGATATTTCAGTGGGTTCTAGTTTTACTAATTTGCCAAGTGTTCCCTACAGACTCCCGGAATTGGAGTGCGTGTATCTATCTTTTCAAAATGGGAATGTAATTGATGAATATCACCATTAAAGGAAACATGCAATATCAAAACATTGGTTAAAAAGATATGTGAAAAAGTTAGTCATTTAAAACTTTACTCCGTTGTCATCTTATGATTTACCTATCATCTGTTTTTCTGCCCCATTTTTTTCATTTATTGAGTGCATCTTGGATTTAAAATTTTGCATAGTCTATTTTCTCCTCATCTTCTCACTTAGTAAATGGCAGAATGCATGCACACACATAACTTGATATTGAACCATAGTTACACAGTACGCAGTACGCAATGGGGTCATGGTACGAATTCGGGTACATAATTCACCACTTAGAAAATTTAGATTCAATGGAGGGTAGCTTGATTTGGTACGCAAGTTCAATTAGTGGTACATTATAGATTTTTGGGTGCACTTAAAAGTTTTCCAAAGTATATAGCAAAAAGCTAGAAACTAGAAAGTTAATTATACATTTCAATGTTTTTTATATAAAATACTTAAATACTTTTTTTTCATGGAGTTTGCTTCTTAGTTCTACACTTTTTTTTCAACATAGTTTGTGTTGGGATCATGACGTCTTCATGTTTTATTAACATGAGTACTTAGTTATAGTAAAGTCATCGGCCCATATATTCTATTGTGCGTCTCCCTTCACTTGATTGCACATATTGTGTTGCATCTTGCGCAATGTACTAAAAGGGACTTTACGCCACACATACTTGCAAGCGGTACGCTAATTTTGGGGAACTAATTCGTGTATTAGAGGGAATCGGTTCACAAATATATCAGAAATCAGTTCACAGGAATTGTACATCGGTTCAAAGGAGGTCCAGGGAATCATGCACCTGTGTATTGAACTCTTTTACTTATCTTGCTCATGCTTAGCTCAAGTGTTTGAAAGGCTAGCTATTCACACTCCTAAAATCCCCTGCTCTGCACCAAAACTTTGGAGTTAAAAGTGAGGGTCGAGGATTATAATTCTATAATCTAGAAATATCCTGCAAGTTGAACACCCTTTCCATGGGTTGAAACTTGGGTTTTTTTCCACAGCAATAACAATTTTCAAATCAACTTTAAATGTACATCTAATGAGATTTAAACCTGGTCACTTTTATACAATCTTAAAGTCACTTCCAATTGACAAAAACTCCAGAGTTTTAAGAGTAGAGGGTTATAATTTTATAATCTAACATGATCATTTACAGATTTTTGCATTGGACCCATATTTTCTAATTCTTCCCCAACTAAGTAACACAGAATTTCACATTTAATTTGGAACACACCAACATCTACAATTATCCTATTACCCATGTGAATAGCTGAAAACATTGCCTTTAACTGATTTTATTAAGAAGAGCTTACTTGTAAGGGTAAAGTTTGCAAATTCCCTTATGCCACATTAATTGGCTACTGATGTGGGTGATTATCATCAAATGTTTGTTTGATTTTTCTCCCACGATAAAAATCGTCATCATATTGCCTAATTTAACATCTTTAGTTAGCACTTAGCACCTGGCACAACTAACCTCCCTTCCTTTTCATGGCACCATCAATCATGTCAACCATCAGCTCACATGATTGAACTCCAACTCGTCATCATTGATACTGAAACCAATTTTTTTTTCTTTGAAGGAACTCAGATAAGAAAATAGACTAATATATTTCCATCTTCTACTACAATTAGGACTCAAATTATGAAAATCGGATAAATGAGAAACATGGGCCCAGTGGTTTTCTTAGTTCTTCAACACGCATAATTTTTTTGGCTTCACAATCATCAACGGTAGAATTGAACCTTTATCCTTCTTAGACAAACCTCCAGAGAATATTCTGAAAGATTAACCTTGTAATGGTAATATTATCTAGTTTCATATTTCTGCTAGCAAATTCCAAATTAAGACCAATCCTAGATTCTGAATAAAATCTTTACAAAGTTAATTAATGACCAGAACAAGTAAAGAGGGAAAATCACCCCCATTTGGCTCCACCAAGCATGTGCACTGGGTAAGCAAGGAGTTATGTATCTGCTTATGGCAAAATTTTATTGATATTTCATTACTATTTGAAAATTTCCATCTAGTTACTTCACAATATTATTTAAAAAGAATCTTAAAATACTTATCATACACTGGCTTTTATTCACGATAAAAACTTATTTTGAAAAAGATGTAGACACACTTTTAAATAAAAAGGAGGCATTTTAGTAACCAAAACGATGATAATGCATAAAAAATCCAAATCCTGACCAAATATCAAGATCCCTTGAAACACATTGTTAATTCAACTAACCCCTCTTAGGTCAGGGGAACACCTAATATTTCGATGATCTTAGTGAAGAAGAACACTGATTTAATGTATAAAGAATTGAACTATGGTAACCACCAAATAAGCAAGTACAAATATTTATATCTATCAAACCACCTAGGTGGCTCGAATCCTACACTATACAGCATCTTATGATCATTAAGATCTAATAAATAACTATTGCCACAAACGTGATCAACCAAAACCCATAAACCTACCGATATGTCAGGTACGAAATATATAGACCAATTTAATTGATTGCATGCAAATGAGGGATCAAAGGTTAGGAGAACACCTTAGATTTAATGATCTGAATGAGGAAAAATACCTATATAATGTATAAAGAATTGGAATAGATACGGTAACTCTCAATTAGTCCAGTTTAAACACATACATAACTAACCAACCACAACATACAACATCCTATGACCGTTACGATCGAATAAATAACCATTGCCAGAAACGTAATCAAACAAAAACCTATAAAACTAGAAATACATCGCTACGAAATATATAGACCGGTTTAACTAACCGCATGCAAATCAGTGATAAATAGTCAGTAAAACACCCAAGGTTCGATGATCTTAATGAGGAAAAATACCTTGTAAATGCATAATAAATAGTTGGACTAAACGCAGTAACTCTTAAAGAATCAAGTCTAAATACACACATAACTAATCACCTAAAACATACATCTTATCGACCGCCACAATCAAATAAATAAGCTACAAATATATACAACAATTTAACAAACTGCATGCAAATGAGTGATGAAAATGGAAATAATAAGTCAGAAGCAACT